TGCTGTTATGCTGCCATTATTTGGCAGATATAAGGTAGAATAATGGCAGATTTTTTTTCTGTTATTTACCTATTATTTATCCTTTATTTATTTATTCAACTTGTGTAATGACTAATAATTATTAAACAATTAATTACTAAGCAACTAAGTGATTTAGCAACTAAGTGACTAAGCAACTAAGTAATTACTAAGTGACTAAAAAGTTCTAGTAACTACTACTAATAATAATATAATAATAAGAATAACTAATATTATAAAATAATAATAATTAATAATAATAAAAAAATAATAATTTGGTTTATAATATTACAATTAGTTCATCAGTATATCAGATCAATTCAAATATTTTTTTCTTTGATTCATTTTGATGACCTGGTTAGTAGTATTTCTAAAACTTTCAACTCAAAGATTTTTGTTTGTTCAGATACTACAATATTAGTATCTATTTTTAGTAATCTAGTCTTTACAATAATATTATCAAAAATCTATATTATCATTCTATTTAGGCTTTTCTAAATGAACTTTTTGTTTTCTATTTTTAACAGATTTATATAGTCACAAGGACTTTTCTAGAATTTGTACTGCCTAATATCAAATTGTATTCCTTTATATAAGTTATTATACAGATGCTCTATAATCTGTTAGTTATAATAATACAATTACTATTATAGATATTTTAATCTAATTATTAAAAATAGTTACTATAATATAAATATTATATAGATGATTATTTAAATTTTTGTTGTCAATAGAATTTGAACACCTAACCTACTACTTGGGAGGTTGACAACTTATCTATTTAACTAAGTTGTTACATCTTCAATATATTATTATTATTATTAATTATTAATTTTATAAGTATTTATTATTATATATGTTAACCAAATTTGAATAAATTTCAAATTTTTAAAAAATAATTAATAATTATAAAAAATTAAATTAAACAAATATTTCTAAAATTTTATAAATATATTCTTTATAATTATAAAAATATATTTAATTTTTTTATTTTTTTTCTTCTATTATTCTAAAGGTCTTTAAGCATCTTTAAAATCTAATATATTTCTTTAAAGACTAAAGTTATCATTTAACAGAGATCATTAAATAACATATAACATTTATATTCATCATTATACTCATGAAAATAGCTTATACTCTATTAAGTTCATTATATAATATTTTAGATTTCTAACTTTGTAATATAGAACCTACTATCTTTTTATTTAGTTTACAATTTTTTAACTTCACATGACTCACCAGTTAGATTATCTTTTATATCTAATGTTTATTAATTCTTTTAACTAAGTTTTCTCAATGTTAACATCATTTGTTAATAATTTACTTTTTCTAATTATTTTTGATTCTATAACTATACTAACAAACTGCATTCTTATAGATGAATTTTGTTCTTTTTTCCAATAAGAAATCCTTCAAAGATCTTCCAATTATGGTTTTGATGAAGTTGTTATCATCTAATAGGATTTGAACTTGTAACCTTGCAATTGTAACTCAGAAATGCTAATCACTACAATATCAACCCATGGGTCTTGATTTATTTAAACAATAATTATTAATAAAATTTTTAAGCTATGAATTTGATCAGACCCTTTAAGTTTGTTTACTTTAAATAAACTTAAAATAAACAAACTTAAAAAGTCTAACCAAATTCATAGTTCAAAAATTTTATTAATAATCATTGTTTAAATAAATTAAGTATATTTTTATAGCTATAAAGAATATATTTATAAAATTTTAGAATTATTTGTTTGATTTAATTTTTTATAATTGGCAATTATTTTTTAGGGGTTTGGGATTTGACCAGCAAGTATATTTACTACGTATTACATGTTTTTATCAATATCAATATGAAATAAGTTCGAGTATCGATTACTACGTAAGTATAACGACAGTAAAATTGGCAAGATAAATACCGTATTGACCAAATTTATAGTTTTAATATTAAATTCACGTACATCTAAGAATTTTTTGTGTTTAATACATTTAAGAATTTAATCATGATAACTTTTAGCTTATTTTTTTTTCGGTAAAGGTTTAACAAATGGTAAAAAATCTCGTCCATCCATATATGGACGAAGTTTTTCTGGTATAATTACTCCCTGATATAAAAAAATCATGAAAGATTATATAACATTAACTATGATCATAAAACATAATAAAAAAGTGTCACGTGTAATATTCTCTTACCTCAGGCGTTTGATAAGTTTCTAAAATACAGCATAAAGCTCTTTCAGTGGCACATAATGTAGAATTTAAACAGTGCACATATTTCTTTTCACGATCACCCATTTTCTTCATTCCACATCTAATTTCTAATCTACGAGATTGATAATCTGTACAATTAGAACAACTAACTAATTCTTTATATTCTCCTTGAAAGGGAAACCATGCTTCTAAATCATATTTCTTTGCTGCCGCATTATTTAAAGCACCAGAGACTATTGCAACTATTTGATATGGTATGTTAAGTGATTGATAAAATTCTTCTGAATAATTAATCATCTCATCAAATTGTTCCCATGATTTTTCCGGATCTGTAATAACAAATTGTTCGACTTTTTCGAATTGATGCACACGAAAAATACCCCAAGTGTCTTTACCGTGTGCCCCAGCCTCTTTACGGAAACAAGTTGAATATCCTGCATATCTTTAACATTATTAATGTTATTAATATGTTATTGAAATATACCAATGTCATTCATTTTATATTAAAAAAAAACATAAATTCTTGACTCACTTTACTGGCAACTGTTCTGCTGGTTTTTCAAACCATTCATTAGCATGAAACGCGGAAATAGGTTGTTCGGATGTGGCAATTAAATATTTATCATCCCCATCCCCAATCACCTATTAAATAATTATATAGTGTTAGTTCATATTTATGTATTTTAAAGTAAATAAATATTACCTTGTATAACTCTTCGTCAAATTGTTCCAGTTGTGCTGTTTTGGCCATATACTCTCTTCTCATAAAAAATGGCGTTTGTAATTTTTTATACCCTTTTTTCCGCAGAAATGAAAGACCGTATTGAATTAATGCCATATTTAAATCCACTCCGTCATTAGTAAGAAAATAACCGCGGTGACCAGCAATATTTGTTCCTTTACAAGAGAAATGTCACGTTAATGCAAGCAAATTCTAAATATACTTGAAGTCATTACTGTAAATCTCACAAATCTCAAATATACTCAAATATATTCAAAGCTACTATTATAAATATAAATACCTCTCTCAGAATCATAACCATCAATTCTGTATAGTACTTCATGATGTGACAAAATTCCATTTTTCTTAACTGATTTTATATTGAGTCCATTTTCGTTTGTTGGAGGATCCCACTTTCGAACTATTTCATTATTTTCCTCATCTAAAGAATCGGGTACAGATTCATGAACAATATTTCCAATCGTAGAAGCTTTAGACTTGAGAATCTCTTCTTTTTCCTTTTCAAGGGTAGTGAGTCGATCTTTTTCAGAATTGAGAGATTCTTTCTCTTTTATTAATTCTGATGCATCTTCCTTATCCTTAAATTAAATTTAAAAGAATTTTAAATACGCGTCTTTTAAACTAATTAAATCAAATATGACCAATTTCATATACTTGTTAATTTCCTTATGACACTTTTCTTTCTTACCTTTATTTTTTGTGCAATTTGTTTTTGAAATGCGTTCTGTTGCTTTTTGACTTGATCCAGATCATAACGTACTTATTATTTCAAAAAATATGACATTAAATAATGGGACGGTGTAGGTAATTTTTTATTTGATCTCTTAAATTTAACAGTATAAATTATAAAAATACCTGATCGCCATTCGTCATATAAACTAATAACCTGGTCAACTAATTCGACAGAAGCCCCTCTTTTACGTTGAGATTCCTTGATTAGTTCAGGATTACCACCTTTGTCAGCTTGAAATAAATTAATGTCAAGCATGTTGTTTTTAACTTAAGGTTCTATTTTTTTTTTTCGAGTTATAAATTTTTTTTTTTTGTAACATAATGCGCTATGACTCATTTTGTATCAATTTTGATAGTCAAATAATCAAATGAGATGAATTAAATCTTAAATTGGTACGTACTGTACGTAGATGTTAACAAACTATTATATACAGATATATAATACGTAATACGTATTAAGAAGTCGGTGATTTGGTTTTTGGTTATGCTACGTATATACGTACGTACAGTAAAATTAATAGAATTTATAGTAAGAGTGTGCTCCCAGTTAACATAATTCCAATTCTAAAATTTAAGAAAAAATTTATATACTGTATAATAAATAAATTATTATAATCGCACCAGCGGTGTTGAATACCATAATTTTTTTTATACGAGGCTATAGATTAAAAATTAAAATTAAAAATAAAGTTGAATATTTTTAATATATGTACATAGCCTTGGTTGTTTAGATATAGGGATGTTAAGTGGTCCACAAGGGACCGGTTCTGGACCGGTTCTGACTGGCTTTTTAGGGAGCGCCCAAATCAGTCCGAAACTAGTCCGGATAATCACATGATATAAATCGAGTGTCGTTTTTGACATTTCAAGTTAAAATTAATATGAAATGAATCAAAAATGATACTTTTAAAGGTAGAGGGTAATATATTGAAATTATATATAAACTCAATGGCAATTTTTTTTTATATTTAATTTTATAAAAAATTATATTAAGTAAACTAATATTAATTTATAAGAAAAGTTTGTAGAG